TTTGGCCTCGCTCGGGACATTCACCACATCGACTACTATAAAAAGACAACCAATGTAAGTGCTGACGAGGCCACTAGGTGCATGTCCTCTGCCCCACGACTCTGCTGTGCCAGGCTTTCTCCCATGTGCACTTCTCTGCTGTAGCCCAGGGCAGGTGGCTTTGCCTGAGAAACTGTGGTGGGATGAGCTGAATGTGTGCATTCCTTCCCACGTCCAGTCCCTCACGTACCCGCCTCCCTCCCTCCCTACTCCCTCATTGCTCTGCCCTGGGCCACCCCAACTTCCCCATGCTGCTTGCAGGGCCGACTGCCTGTGAAGTGGATGGCACCCGAGGCATTGTTTGACCGGATCTACACCCACCAGAGTGATGTGTGAGTTTGACATGGGCAATTGCCAGGGATACTTGGGATAGAAAGTGTCTGGTACAATAGAGTCCTGTCCTCCCCTCTGAATTGAAGAGGGTCTCCTTCTATTTTGAGGAGAAAACAACACAATATGTTGTATATAACCACTTACTTTGTTCCTGGCGGTGGAAAGGCCTGTTTTCTGCTCCCCGCTGGTATTCCCCTGGGAATTAAGGGTTTTCATTGGCGAGGGTGGTTTTGGGATGAGTAGCTGACATGCTGGGGAAGGAGAGATGGAAAGGACTTTAGGTTGGCCCATTCCTGTGCCCACAACACCCATGGGCTCTGTGTTCATCCACAGGTGGTCTTTTGGGGTGCTCCTGTGGGAAATCTTCACTCTGGGAGGCTCCCCATATCCTGGCGTGCCTGTGGAGGAGCTGTTCAAGCTGCTGAAGGAGGGTCATCGTATGGACAAGCCCAGCAACTGCACCAACGAGCTGTAAGCATGAGAAGATGCCCAAGGTCCTGAGCTAGGCCCTGGAGGCCGAGCGGGTTTGCCGGGAAGAGGAAGAAAGGGGGTGTTTAGCTAGAGAAAACAGCCACTCCTGGTCACTCCTCCCACAGTTCCTCCTCCGTAAGCTACTTCATCTCTCCACTTACAATCTTCCCCCGACCTTACAATCCTGCCGCAGGTACATGATGATGCGGGATTGTTGGCACGCAGTACCCTCTCAGAGGCCTACCTTCAAGCAGCTGGTAGAAGACCTGGACCGCATTGTGGCCTTGACCTCCAACCAGGTGAGGTTGTCCCGTGCTAGCCCTTCAGTCGGCATCACTTAGGCGCGTCTCTGTGAATTAAACTGCCGCAGGGAGGAGAGTGCTGATCCGCCGCTCTTCTGTTTCTCCCATCACAGGAGTATCTGGACCTGTCAATGCCCCTGGACCAATACTCTCCCAGCTTTCCCGACACCCGAAGCTCTACCTGCTCCTCGGGGGAAGATTCTGTCTTCTCTCATGAGCCGTTGCCTGAGGAGCCCTGTCTGCCCCGACACCCAGCCCAGCTTGCCAATGGCGGACTCAAACGACGCTGACTAGCACCCCAGCACTGCCCTCCCCAAACTCCATCATCAGCTGTAACTCACCCATCACTCCCCACAGGACTCACTGCCTCCCCTTTGCCCCTTCCCTGCTGGCGGGAGCCAGCTGCCTACCTGAGGCCGTCACCCCACTGAGTTCGCCTCTCTTCCTCCTCCTCCTCTCAACCTGCTTAGGAGAGAGAGGAGTAGGGAGGCTGGTACTTGCTGATGGCCACTCCGTTCCCTCCCCAATGGTGGACCAAGACCCCTCCCGCCACCTGGCACTGCCTGGAGGGGTGGGAGTGGGAGGGAAGCGTGCTGAGCAGGCAGGCTGGCGAGAGCTGATGGAGCTTTCTCTGTTGGTTTTGTCTGCTTCACCGCCACCCATAAGCCCTTGTGTTCCGGTAGCAGGAGCCTCGTCCTCAAGACGACAGTAGTAGGGAGGGGAAGTCTCTGCTTCGGGCCTCGGTTGAAGGCAACCTCTGCTCCAGAGAGATGGTGCCATTGGCTTATTAATTCCGATACTAATTTGCTTTGCCGACCAAACACTTGGTACCAGAGGACAGGGAGGCGAAGGCTGGGAGCAGTGCCGTGGCCCTGGGGCCCAGCCCCAACTGGGGGCTTTGTACATAGCTATGAAGAAAACACAAAGTGTATAAATCTGAGTATATATTTACATGTCTTTTTAAAAGGGTTGTTACCAGAGATTTACCCACTGGGTAAGATGCTCCTGGTGGCTGGGAGACATCAGTTGCTATATATTAAAAACAAAGAAAAAAGAAAAAAAAAAGGAAAATGTTTTTTAAAAGGTCATATATTTTTTGCTACTTTTGCTGTTTTATTTTTTTAAATTATGTTCTAAACCTATTTTCAGTTTAGGTCCCTCAAATAAAAATTGCTGCTGCTTCATTTTTATATGGGCTGTGTGACGAGGGAGAGAATGTCAACTGAAAAGGAGCAAAAATGATGGGCCCTGGTCTGTGTCTGTCCGGAGGGCCCTGCACATTCCCTGCAGTTTGCTCCTAACCTCTTCCTTTTAGGTCCCGGACCGAGACCTCCGGACAAAACGCCCACCTCTTGGATGCTTTTGGAAAGGCAGGAAAAGAAGACATCTGCGTAGTGAGCAGGAACCTCCTGCCAGTGCACCAGAGGTGCCTGGGCCAAAGCCAAGACCCCTCCCCACTGCAGCCCTCAACCACAAATTGTTTCCTCAGGGGAAACTGGTGGGGTCGGGCGGGTCAGAGGGTCAGAGAGGGAGCTGGGAGCCTCTCTCAGAATAGCCAAGGCGTAGAACTAAAGAGGTGGAGGAAAGCTAAGGATGATTCCGACAGGGGCGTGCAGAAACTCAGACTCAGATTCGCATCTACGCCCTCTGTGTGCGTGTGGTTTTGCCTGTGCTGCTGTGGAAGGAGAAGCTTGTCACCTAGGACGAGGTCTACATTAAAGTCCCTTGCTTCATGTTTTCCAGCCTGCTCTGTGTTTGTGATCCTCCCCCACACCAGTCCCCACGTGATCAAACTGCATGCGTTGGGACTCACAGATCTTGGCTTCCTATAGTTCTTCCTGTACAAACCCCACCCCCTCCCTCAGGAAGGAAAAAATGCTCTAAATGTTTATAGCAGCTTGGAAATTCACTTCCTCTGCCACCTGCTGGTCGTCTCTGCACTCGCCAAGGGTGTCCTGGCTCCTCCGAGCTCCGTGCTCAACCTGCTCCTGTGCAGACTCTAGACCAGCGGTTCTCAACCTGTGGGTCGCGACCCCTTTGGCGGTCGAATGACCCTTTCACAAGGGTCTCCTAAGACCATCCTGCATATTCAGATATTTACATTACGATTCATAACAGTAGCAACATTACAGTTATGAAGTAGCAACGAAAATAACTTTATGGTTGGGTCACAACATGAGGAACCGTATTTAAAGGGCCAGAAGGTTGAGAACCACTGCGTCTAGACCGAAAGCTTGCTTTTTTGCCAATTACGGCTGAATACAGAAGAAAGTTCACTGTGCTTTCATTTCTGTAGAGAAAATGGGATTGCTGCCCTATGTTCCTTTCTGAGCTAGCTGGGGGGGTTTTGGGCAGCTGCAGTGTTGGCTACAATTGTAAATTAGTTCTCTTTCCTTGTGTCTCTGTAAATATGCAACTGTCAATCTATTACAGTGTGTGTTTATGTTTAATGAAGGCATAATTTGGTGAACAGAGCCAGGAAATGAATTTTAGCTCTTAAAAACATTTACTTTCAGACCTTATAGTGGTATCTTTCCTTGTAAAATAGGGATGATCATTTCTGCCTTGGTCCTTGAAGCAATGTTGTGAGAATGGATGATCTATGAAGGGCTTTATATCCCTTTGGGAGAGGTGCTAGAGAAATATATAAGGCACTATTATAAGTGATGTCTTTGTTGTTACTACTCAAATCACCCACGGATTTCCCCAGAGACTGAGCCTGGCTGTCTAATAAAAGATAGTGAAATTGACCTGAGAGAAAATGAAATGATCATTTTACTTAGATGACCAGATTGGGTCTCCTGAGAAAAGGAATCTAGTTTATCTAGTGAAGGCGACGTGCTGTCAAGGCACTGAACTTGTCTGGTTTCCTGAGAGTGAAAAGATTAGGGCCTGGGATTACCACAATATTAATCAATACTGCCTTTCTGCCTTTTCTAATTGCCATAGACTGGGGATCAGTCCCTTGGTACTGCTAATGTAATGTAATGTAATTGATCTCAGGTAAGTAAGATGGAACCTCATGAAACAAATGTATCTCAATGACAATGAAGTCCCTGTGTATCAGCGGCCACTGGGAGGAGCCAGCAGGCCATTATCTCAGTCAAATTAGGTAATAGGCCAGCCTGCTTTAAAGTTCCATTAGGTGTGTATTGGTGGTGACTGGGAGGTCTCTAGCCTAGATTTTAGCATTACTGGGCATTTATTGGATATCACCAACATGACATGTAACTATCGAAGTACAGAATTAGACACAAGTGCAGGTCCGAGGATGTCAAGTGCCACCGATACCTACCTGGAACAGAATTCTCAATGTCTAAGATACAGGCCATGTCTGATGATCACCACTCAGATTGGGTTTCAGAAAGTTCCTAAAATGATACTCGGTGGGTTTATTAGCAGCTGATACACTGAGGTGTATGCATCTGCAGGGAAGAGTAGAGAACAAGGAAGGGAGAGAGCTTTGCAGCTGCAACCTGGCACAGCCTTCCACTCCTTTGGTTGAGAGCCAGGAAAAGGGAAGGTCAGGAAGACCAAGTGTTCAGGAAGACGCAGTTTTCGGCAAGTTCTCTCTAGGTTGGCAAGTAACCGAATTTAGAACCATTTATACTTCTGGTGCACAAAAGTGGTGCATTTAGTGAGCATGACAACTAGAAGTTTCTTTCTTGTTACTCCGGTAGGCACTGAAGTCAGTATTGTGCCGGGACTGGTTCTTGAGCCAATTGTATACATCTTTTCCCAACTGGTGTTCAGTGACCTGTTGGTAGCTTGAAATCAACCGTGTGAGAGTATTTACACCACTGGAATTGGCAAGTGCTACAAATCAGCCCCTCTCCCCCTCCAGTTTGTTAATAATTTCTCTGAACACCGCTAACTCCAACTCAGCATGGGGCTAGGTCTAATAATCATGGAACCCAACAGCCACGCCCTCTAAGTGATGAGAACAAAAGGAACTATCTCAACTTCTCTGAGCTACTATCATAAGACGGGGAAGGGAGGAGTATCGTGTGTCTTCGATGCCTGTTTATGAAGCAAAAATGGGTGAAGGGCAACTGGGGCCAAAAGTGACCAGGAGCCCCTTGACCTACTCATTCTCACTCTGCTAATAATCCCACCGACCAGGGGCCCCTTGACCTACTCATTCTCACTCTGCTAATAATCCCACCGACCAGGGGCCCCTTGACTTAATCATTCTCACTCTGCTAATAATCCCACTGACCAGGGGCCCCTTGACTTAATCATTCTCACTCTGCTCATAGGGAAAGCCAGAAAGATTGTAGTCCAACAGCAGATATGAATCATTCAGCCAGAACAGGATTCAACAAGTTAAGTAGCTAATCCCTTTCCCACACTCAACACTTGAAATTGGAACTCATTAAAATAAACACCCAACATTTTAAAAGTGGGGACATTTATTATGAATCACCTTGTTAGTCCAATGGGGAGATCCATGGAATGCTGCATAGTAGGGATTCATTCTTCGCAAGGAATAGGACGGAGTTCATTAGCAGAACATGGTGGGGCTTGTCGTCTCGTGGAGAGGATGTTTAGGAAGCTTATAAAAGCACACATCCTTGCCATGAAATGCTGATGACGGTCCTCATTTAGGTGATCCCAGACAAGGATATTTGCATTTTATTTGGTTTGACTGATTCCTATCCAACTGCTCTCAATTTCACAGCAAGTAAAGCGATCTAATTTCATCACCCACAGGCAGAAATACCTTTTCCCTCCTAAGCGCTCCCCAAGGGAAAAGCTGTGGGTCAGCTGCACAGCAACCTATTATGTTGTTTTTTCCCCCCGTTTTGACAATACAGAAAACAAACAAATACCTGAACATAATATTTGTTACTGGGCAGCATAGGGATTATGTCAGACTTTAACCACCCCATATGACTAATAAATAGTCTTGTTTGTGAAAGACAAGCAGACCAGAAAAACACACCCAGCACAAACAAATGGTTAAGTCTTAAACCCTTAATTATGCTTCCTAGCAAAATGGTGACTAATGAAAGCCATATGTGCTAGAATCATGGCCGCCTCCCGGATTCCTGCAGACCCAGAGGGGAAGTCTCAGAACAGCCGAGCAGCAGCCAAACCTCTTTTGATTGCCAGTCTAATTCCCAATTTTATTCTCCAGGAAGTTTTTCCTTTATATCCAGAAAGACCTCACTGAGGAATGTCCATTCCATCTCAGAAGCACTTTGTTTCCAGAGCACTGCTCCTACCGGCGGATCACTGAACGAGTTGGTGAGGTGCTCTTACAATGGTGGTTGGAGTTTCCAAGTTCTTACTCAGATTGCCAAGTTATAGGAGGCAGAGTTATCTAAGGACTAAGCTGATTCCATTATGCAAAAAAAATTTCCTCCCATAAAGGGAGGAAATGGGCACAAATACGAAGCTGTTACAAACAACATGGGGTGGGGGGTGCTTTACACAAAGTTTAGTGGGATGACATAATGACACAGAGGAAATGGGCTTTGCAATTATAGTTTTCTAAATGGTCTGAACTTGGTCTGACTGCTGACATCATCAGGAGTGTTTACAAGGTCTCAAAGGACTGCCCCTGATCCTCTACTCAAACCAGACACAGTCTTAGCTGGGAGGTCCTTTACGGATGCCACTGCTGAGGGCAGGAAGCTGAGAGCGTGAGCTTCATCCTCCAGGGCGCCTCTGGAACTAGTGGTGCTGCTCTGAGTTGTCTTGTGGTTTGGCCTGGAGTGTCTAGGTACAAAACATAAGGATGTTAGCCCCTGGTCACAATTAGATGTGTAAGTTCTTCAGGAGTTACTTTTTTTGTTTTCTTAAATCAAAATGACAGACCACAAGGTCAAATCTGAGTTTGTAATTTATCTTGGTAATAAAAATAAAGACTTGCAAACCAGGCCTCGATGCAGTTTGCCCCATCTACCTGTTCCCTGGTGCTCTGGTCCTCAGGAGCCAGGAGAGCTGCTCACTGCACAGTTCAACTCTCCCATGACCCCTGTACTGTTTACTTGTATTATGCTTTTTTCTCTTGCCCCAAATTCCTTTATCCAAATGGAAAAATAGATAAGTAATTTGTTATTTACAAGCATTTCTCCTAAGATTTAAATTGCTTTCCTGCTAGTATTTCCTGACATGAATCCTGTGTGAAATATACAACATATGGGAACTATTTCCATCTGGCACAAAGGAAAATAAGAATCTGCCTATATTGTAATTAGCTTCTAGACTTAACATGTTTAGGTCTGATCCACGGTTGCATTGGTTGATTTTTTTTTTTTCACTTTTGGATAATTGAGTTTAAAAAATGTAGTGGTTATAAGATGACTAAAATTCAGCCTACAGCTTCCTGTTTGAATGACAGGAAGAGCTGTGCAGTGTTTTACAATAGTTAAGATTCTAGATTTTCACTGCCCTTAAAAAGAACTAGAGGGAAAGGGGTTTTCTTTTTTTAGGTCATACTTACAGCTTCTTTAGCAGAAGTTACGGATCCTTTAGGTAACGAAATAGGTGTTGATGGTGTTATGGGTGATGATGTAATTGGTGGCAGTTTCATAAATTTTTCATCCTTAAACATCAGAATTGAGAGGTGGGTTACTAGTTTTAAAATAATGTGCATGAGATAGATAGTCCTACTGCCATGACTACCAGGAACCTGCAACAACTACTTCAGATTCTGGCACAGGACTCAAGAGGCAAAATCTGGAACCTAATTACATATAACCAAATGTTGAACTTTCTTAGAAACAGCAAATAATACAACAAATATTACTTATTAAAGAACACCATTGAAGTTCAGTTTCATTAAGGGGTTACAAATAGAGAAATGAACTTATTTTCATGTTTAACCTAATTAATCATATGAAAAGTAATGGTGTAACCTTAGTTCCCTTCAGTTGAGGTGCTAAGTCCACCAAGTTCTCTTTAGACTCAGGTGAAGTAGGTGATTCCACAGGACTATGTGTCTTCAGAGCCTAGGGAGAAAGATGTTATGTAAGCATGAACTTTCTGGTCTTCCTGAAACTCAGAAGCACTTCCAAGTAAGTAGTCAACGCTTTCTAGAACAATTCACTTTCCACTAAATCCCTAACTTGCTCCAACTATATACCCTTTATGAGTAACATATGAAGTATGTCCCAGAAATAACAACTTAGTATTATTTATCTTGCAATTTTGAACACAAGTTGCACTCTAATTAGATCCCAGTATTTAAAATCTTCAATCATTAACAAGTTACTGGTTTGCCAATTCTGGTGGTATTCTAGTCTCAAAAAAGGTGCCATTTCTCAACTACCATCTATTTCTAATGGCATGGATATAACTTGGTCAAGATTGACATTTATCATTGCTGGCTCCTAATGATAAAAGTTATTTAAATGGTAGGTGCTGCTTAAACCTATAAAACGAGGGAGAGGGTGACATTTTAGAATAGTTAACTTGTCTTTAAGAATTAATTAGATTTAAAAATATATCACTGCTCTTTGGAAATAAGTAATTTCTTTGTGTACTTTGGAGGGAAAAGGGCTACATATATCCAAAATTATAAAATATTCTATTTGATGTCTCTAAATTTTTATAGAGCCTACCATACTACTTGTTTTCATTTTGTACATATGGAGAATAGAAGTTTTAAAGTTGGATTTTTTTTTTTTAAAGCAAAGCAATAAAATGGCTAGGAGCTTGTCATTTTGTCCTTAATTCCTAGGTCTTTCTCAACCATTCCAGAAAACAACATCTGGATAAAGAGTTTCTGTCCATCTACAATAAGTCTGAGAACCCAAATTTAGCTCTGAGACATTGTGCTATTCCAAGATGTCCTTGCTCCTGACAGCAGTCAATGAATGACAGATAACTTTGATCTGTCTTGAAGACCAAAGATAGAGTAAGAAGAAGAACCCAATAGTCTGCCTTTTTTGAACATGGTCTGTGCTCCAAAATTGCTCCTACCTAGTCTCCCTAGAATCCTTCCTGGACAAAGCCCAAATCCAGATTAGTCTCTGGAACTCTGCAAAGGGAAAGCAAGATGGGGTCTCCTGAAGTGTATTTTTCATGCTGAATTCATACCATTTTCCTTGGCTTGTCCAAGGAGTCAACAGCATAACTAAGATTTAAAATGGTTGGTCCACACTCCAGAATATTTCATCTAATCTACTAAAACATATGTGCAGCATGCTCAATAGGTCTTTTCCTTGCTCACCCATGCAGATTCTGATTAGACAAGAAGCCACAAAGTAGAACAGCGAGAGGCCCTTTCTGGTGGACCCAGAGCAAGATGCTAATGATTGGGCCAGTCCTGGGTTCTTCAGTAAAATACCAGAAGAAGAAAAGGCTACTGAGTTAAAGGCAACAACAACAAAGATTAAGACAATAAGTTGTAGAAAGACCAAAAGTTTAGATTCTAAATTGGCCATTCACTGCTTAAAAATTAATAGGAATCTGGACAAATGAAACAGATGTAATAGAACAAGAACCATTCAGTCTCCAAGGAGAAAGTAGTGAAAACAGTCTGAAGACTAGATTGTTAATAAGAAGGAATGATCTGGACACCTATTAGTAAAACCAAATCAAGCTGGGATCAAAGGCAGTAACATCCCTAGAGCTAGTTTTTGTGATTTTAATATTTTTAGTAATTTAAAAAGGATTTTAAGGCCAGTTGGCCAAAATTCCAAAAGATATGCACAAAAGAAATGCCTACTCTGACTGCAGTAGGAAATAAGAGATTTGGAGAGCAGGGCCCTGAACCCAGCTACTCACCTCTCCACTTAGTGGGATCTCAATTGGCTTTGGCTTCACATCTATCAAATAGAAGGTTCGTGACAGGAGCAAAAGAGAAGGAGGGACGTTCTCCTTCAGGTGGAGGTCCTGCCACTGGGGAATAAAACATGACAGAGTCACAGAATGGGAGGCCTGGATGTGACCCAGGATCATCTACTGCTTTCCCCCTTCAGATGGGAAGATTATCCGGGAGGCCTCACCTAATCACATGAGACCTTTAAATCTGGGACTAGAGATCAAAACCAAAGGAACTCCGAGATTTAAAGCATGTGGGAGGCTGGCATATGAGAAGTTCTTTGCAGATGGAGGCGACCTAGAGGTAAGGAATGCTGGTGGCCTTCAGGAGTGAGTAGCCCAGGGCTGACAGCCAGTGAGGAAACGAGCACCTCAGTCCCGCAGCTAAATTCAGAACTAAATTCAGCCAACAAGTGGAATGAGCTTGGAGGTGGGGTCTTCCCCACAGCCTCCAGAAAGGAATGCAGCCTGCACCTCTGACCTACAGGACAGGGAGCAAATAAATGGGCGTTGTTTTAAGCCAGTAAATGCGGTCATTGGTTATGCAGCCATAGAAAACTAATACAGTACTGTCTCTGTCCAAAAAATCTAGCTGCTTTGGTATCCCACCGCTCAATTAAATAAAGCAAATTAGGTAAGATGGCTCACTTGCAAAATAGAAATCACAAAATAAGTCTG